TTCTGTCCACAACCCCAGACCTGTCAAGACAACACTTTTTAACACAGAGCACTAAAAATCCCCAGCACAAAGTCCCTCCCAGCCCACAGACAGAGGTTGGAGTCCCCATTCCCAGCACATGGAGCTCTCACATGCTGCCCTGGGACAGCAGACACAGGACCCTCCTCGAGCTCCCGTTCTGGAATGCTCTGATCCCAAAGGGAAGAGTTTTGACAGGTCCATCACACCTGCAAAGCAGCACCAACCCAAATCCAGGCTCAGCAAAAAATCCCACTGCGACGGATCCATCCGACACCGCCCCGAGGGCAGAGCAGTCCCAAACAAACACCTCAATCCAGGCTTTTCAGGGATACACACGACTGCTCCCAACACCAACACACCCTGCAGCCTCCAAGGCCAAAGGTTTCCGAGGAGCCTCCAGCTCTTCCCTGCCCAGGCTGCTCTGGAAAACCAGACTCGACCCTAAAGCCCAGCACAGCCTGGGTTCCAGGGGGGCACATTCCCTTTTGCCCTGAGGAGGGAAACAGCCAAGTCAGGAGGAGACAAGCAAGAGGGGCAGGACACAGCACGGAGCCAAAGCCAGCAGGGATGGGAAGTGCCCTCTGGAAGCACAGGAACAGCTCCAGCCCCGGCGTGTGCGGCGGCAGCGGCGACGAGGCCACGGGAATTCTCTGGGGGCAGCACCAACCCAACGAGCCCCAGTCCAAACCAGGTCACAGCAAGGCCCCAAGAGACTCAACATCAGCAAGACGGGTACACCCCTGATACACCCCAGATACACCCCAGAGACCCCCTGGATACACCCTGGATACACCCTGGATATGCCCTGGATACACCCTGGCATGGCTCCCCAGCCCCTCAGCTCTTCCCTGTGCATCAAATTTGGGGGTTTTCATTCCATGGAGCCCCTGCCCCTCACCCTGTGAACAGACACTACAAGGTCTCCTCAGAACCAGGGGCATCCCCCCCACCCCCTGGCTGGTTGGGTTTGGGGGCCTGTGGTGTCCAAAGCACACAAAGACTCTCCTGTTTGGGTGGGTTTTCCTGGTCTGTGATGTCCAAAGCATGGAACTGCCCAGGCCAACAGCCACGCTCCCAAATCATGGACCCACAGCCCCCACACACCCTCTCAGAGCCTCCCCTTGCCCAGGGCTCTCCCCGGGCCCCCAGGGCTGGGAGGGGAGGAAGGAACTGAACTTCACCTCCGGGAGAAGCAGCTGAGAAGGTTTTATTTTAAAGTTGGGCTTGGCACAGAGCGTGTGAGGGCTGAGGCTGCCTTGGGAGCACCCAAGGGACTGGGCACCTCTTCCACAGCCCTCTGGGCAGGAACTGGGGCTCTGCCACCCCTCAGAGCTCACCCAGCCAGGGGAACTGAACCACTGAGGAAAGGGGGCTCTTGGATCGGCACAAAACCCACCGGATGAGCAAATGATGATGAAGCCCCCCAGGAGACGGTTCAGTGCAGAGATGTCACCTCAGGCAGCCCTGGCAGAGCTCCCGGGCTGGGCAGGAGGGACAGGAAGGCACCTGGTGGCTGCAGGGACCAAGCCCAGGCCGGAGCCACAGCGTGGGGTAACCGCGGAGTGCCCGGCACGGGGCTGTGCCCCAAGTGATGCCACTGAGAAACCAGGATTTCAGTTACAGCTCACTGGCTAATTGGGGGGGAAAATAGTTCTGGGATGCCACTGGAGAACAAAAAAGCCACTGGAATTGTATTTCCTTCAGATATGTTCTTTGGGAATGTCCCTTCAACCTTCCCCAAGCCCTGCCCTGGCAGTGGGATGTCTGACCCTTCTGGAACAGATGCTGAGGGCAAGGCTCAGCTTTTTTTGTGATTTGTTTTTTAGTCATTTTTTTGTCATTTTTTTAATCTGTGCACTATGGGTTTCCATTCTGCTGCCCACCTGCAGCTCTCCAAGGAGGTGTCCTTGATGAAACCTTGGGTTTCATCCCAAGGGCAGCAAAACCTTGGGACACTCAACAAAAGTTCTGTCAGGCTTTGCTGAGGACACGGTACCCAAACAAACACCTGGGATTTTGCCTGCCATGACTGTTACAGCTCAAGAGAAGCAGGAATTCATGTTGTCAGAAGGTGGGTGAAACTCCAGCTTTATCTGCTGTGGGATCACACCTCCACAGCTCCACTCTCCCCACACCTCTGCTCACAGGGGTTCTGGACTCCAAACCCTCCAGCCGTGCTCCCCTTCCCCACTCAACCCCCAGGGACTGCCCACGGGAGCTCCCAACATCCCCCTGCGTGTGCACAAATATCCATGGAATAACACAGACATGGATCTACAGACAGGTCAATCCTACCAGGACAGACACCCTACGGATATGGACACATTCCAATCTCTGCACAGAGGGAGGAGGGACAGCGCTGAGCAGAACCTGGGCCGAGTCCTCATCGCTTTGGACACGGAGCTGAGCAAGCCCAGGGGCTTAAATGGACAGGTGGAGTCAGGAAATCCATTTTCACAGCCAACAGATCCTGCTCCAGCCCTGGGAGATGGGAAGCTCAGACTCGGAAGGACATTTATTCCTGGTTTACCTATAAAATCAGCGGGGCCACGTAAGGAACCCTCCCGACTCTGGATCTGTTCCCAACTGCAAACCCCGACACACCAAGCAGGAGGAATGTTCTGTGGATCAGGATCACCTCGTGGCTGGTGTGAAGGACAGTCCCAGGCAGTGATGAGGTAATTCTGAGCTCCAGTCCCAAACGAGGAGGGATCATCCAGCGGCACCAAAGCCACGGAGCTCGTGCATCTCTACAGCTCTGACCAACCACCGGTGACACACCTGAGCACAGACTGGGCACAGGCAATCCAATTAACCCACCAAGATAACGAGTCCCCCGGTCCCCAACCTGTGCTTGGAGCTGCTCACAGGACATGCCCAAGGATATTGTTATTAAAGCTCTCCCTGGCGTTCAGAGACTCAAAGCAAGAGCTGAGGAATGCCAAGTTCGGAATCTGCAGCAAAAGGCACAGACAGACACGTCCCTCTCGGAGCCATCCCAGGGGTTATTGCTGCCAGCAGCCCTGTGTCCCTGTGCAGGGGGAATTACTGCTCCCAAACCACAGCATTCCAAGCACACCAGGCAGAGGGAGCTGATGGTGACCCCGACTGGTCACTCGGGTGAGCCCCGGGTGGGACATGACCCAACACAAAGATCATTTCTCTGACTGATGAGGGGGATGAAAACAGACCGAAGCCAGAAGGATGAGCAAACTGTGCCTGCTATGGACATTTCCCCCTCAGCTCCTGATCCCAAATGGATCTGGCCATAATTGGTCATGGTGGAACCAACAAGAAGAGGCTGGAGGAGCCCCGTGGCCTCCCCGGGGCCGGAGCCCAGCCGTGGTGTCCAACAGACAAATGATCTCTCAGCTCTCACAGATCAGTTCTGGGGGCTGGAAGAATGCCCGGAGAGACCCTGATTTTCAGCAGAACTCTAGCACCAATCCTTGGAAAATTAAGACTTGAATGTGTCTCCAGCCAGGAACTCAAACCCACTCCCCACTTGTGACAGTCCTGGCTCAGAGTGGGATCGATCCCCGCACACCCAGCAGCGGAACCAAAGCACAGCGTGAGATTTTCCCCTCCCCAGTGCAACGTCACTTGAAATTATTTCTTTTAAATTACAGGGAGTGAGTGAAGACTTTCAGAAAGACCACGGCAGCACCTGCTTCCCGAGGGATTGCAGCCGGAGAATCCCCAGCCCTGCCAGCACCACACGAGTAGCCCACAGCCCCAGCACAGCCCCCGGGAGCCTCCAGTGCCCCCCATTTCCCAGGATTCCAGCAAGGCAAACCCTCTGTTTTCCCCCAGAGCAGAGCTGAGCAGTTTTTGGGCACACAGGGATGAGCCGGTGCCGCCGGACACCGACCCGGCCGGACACACCGACCGGGAATGTGGGAACACCTCGTGCTCCTCACTCCCCCTTCACACACCTCACCACAGGGAAGGACATTCCACGAGCACCACAGACATCACAGCAAAAACAAAGGGTTTCTGAGGAGGCCCCAGGGCTGGAGCCCCCCGTGCTCAGAACGACAGAGCCATGGGAGGAACTTCCACACTGCAGGGCAAAGCCCCTCCCTTGGCTCGGGTGAGAATCTCCCTGACAGCAGCCACTCGGCTCCCTCTGTGCCAAGCTCCACGAGCTCACTCCCAAGGGAATGATCTTCCAGGCCTGGGATCGCTCAGGAGGTGGCTCTGGACACCTGCCAGGTGGGTTCCAGCACAGCAGCGGGTCCAGCTCAGGGGCAGAGGAGCCCCCAGACCCAGGTGACCCCCCAGCCTCACCCGTGTCACCTGTGTCCCACCAGTGTCACCAGCACAGCCTGCCCGGGAGCGGGTGCTCCAGGCCGGGAACATCCCGTGTCCCAGCTCCAGGGGTTGCCCCTCACCTGGCCCTGCTCTCCCATTTGCCTCTCCCCCCACGGTGTGACCCCCAAATCTCTCTGGGCAGGGACACCAGGGGTGCCCGCCCAGAGCTGGGAGGGGCCGTGTCCCTCTCCAATGTTGTCACAAGGTACAAAGTGCAAAAGTGTTGCTGTTCCTGCATCCATTAAAAAACTTTAAAAACAGAACAAAACAAACAGAAAAAGGATTTCCATAATCATTTGAAAATACATTAAGTCTCCAAAAAGCCACCAAAGCCCTGGTCACCTCTGTGTGCTCTGGGTCCTGCTGGGCAGCAGAGCCATGGGCAGTGTCCTCTCCCTGGACACACCTGGACCACACCCAGCAGGGACATTGGCCGGGCTCGGACAGGAGAGGCCAAGTGCTGACCCAGCCCAAACGCTGCTCTGAACCACCAGTCTCCATGGGAGAGCAGGGAGCCACCCCTGGAATGCAGAGACACCTCACAGCACATCATCACCCCTCGGCCTCTGGCTCGGGACACCGCGGCCTTCCCCTCCCACCCCAAAACCTGAACCTCCGAGCCCTCCCTGCTCCGTCCCGTGGAAGTGTTTGCATTTCTCCTCCTATGAAATGTTTCTGATAAGGCTTTATTGCTATACAAAAGCGGTGCAAAGGCTGCCCGAGGACAGCTCCATCAGGAACTTTGGTCACACGACTGCGGGACTCTTGTGCACTGTCCCCGTCCCGGCGTTAGACCTGCTACCTTTCCCAAGAGAAGCTGAATACTGTGTGCAATAACACTCGGAAAATAGGACTTGAACCCCAAATACAAAACAAAAAACGAGGGAGACGGGGAAAGGGGACAACTCAAATCAGGCAGAAGGCTTTGCTTGGGAAGAGCCCGTCATTCCTGTGAGGACTAAACTGCTCAATGCTACATTTGGACAATGCAAAGTGTCTCTCCGGACAGACTGTTGGTGTTGGAACTGCGTGTCTGGTCCTCAATGCCAGCTCGCTCTCATCAATGCAGCATTTATTAAAAAATAAAATTAAAATGGAAAAAAAAAATAATAAGAATTGACAAATTGCATCACCAGGAGCAGCCTGGCCTGGGTCACACACGTCCCGTGGCAGCGGCGGCATCAAGCGGGGCCGTTCAACGTGGCTTCGGCGCAGGGCAAGGCCTCTTCTTTCCTGGGGAGAGACCCAGAGCAGCATGAGGGACAGGGAACTGCTGGGACACGCTGCCTCCTAAGGCTTCCTCCATCCTGGCTGCAAATTCACCTCTTTGGAGGGATCCGAGCCACCCAACCTCTAGTTTTGTTTCTCCTGCCTCCTAAAGCGTCACCAGCTTCCAACAAGAACCTTCTCAGAGCCCTTCACAAATTAGGACATTGAAAAATCACAGGGGAGCCATGGAATGGTTTGGGTGGGAAGGCACCTTAAACCCACCTAGTTCCACCCCCTGCCAAGGGGATTAGGGGGATAGAGCAGCTCTCCTATGAGGAAAAGGCTGGGAGAATTGGGATTGTTCATCTGGAGAAGAGAAGGCTCCAGGGAGAGCTGAGAGCCCCTTGCAGGGCCTAAAGGGGCTCCAGGAGAGCTGGAGAGGGACTGGGGACAAAGCATGGAGGGACAGGACACAGGGAATGGCTTCCCAGTGCCAGAGGGCAGGTTCAGATGGGATATTGGGAAGGAATTGCTGGCTGGGAGGGTGGGGAGGCCCTGGCCCAGGTTGCCCAGAGAAGCTGTGGCTGCCCCTGGATCCCTGGAAGTGTCCAAGGCCAGGTTGAACAGGGCTTGGAGCAACCTGGGCTGGTGGAAGGTGTCCCTGCCCATGGCAGGGGTGGCACTGGATGGAATGTAAAGGTTTGTCCCCACAGACAGCCCTCAGCAGACCCAGCCTGTCCCCCAGGGCAGGTCTGTCCCCACCCTCACCTGTCTTTCGTGGCCGTTTCCGTGACGGTTGTGACGACAGTGGCCACTTTCTGGTGCCCCTCCGAGTGTGGGGCCACGTTGTTCAGGGCTTTGGGGGCCTTGGGTGACCCCAGGTCGGCGATGGCCATTTTCTCCACCACCACGGCGTCGGCGTCGCTGTGGGAACAGGGCAGGGAATGTTAGAAGGGCAGCTGAGCTCAGGGCAAAGCCAAGGTCACACCGAAACGGGAACGAACGGGGCTTGAACTCCAACGGAGGAAAAATCCTCCTCCTTCTCTCCTTGCACAGGCCACAAAAACCCCGCAGAGAAATGAGAACTGGGACTGAAACGCAGTGTCCTGGGGGCTCTGGGTCCTAAAACCAACAGGATACCCCAGGAAGGTCAGTTCCTCCAGGCAGGCATTCCCATTTCCTGCTGCACAGTCCAGCCTGAGGGTTCCCAGAGCTGCCACTCTGCCTGCCCAGCTCAGCTCTCCCTGAACTGCTGCTTTGCAAAGCCTGTTCTGCTCTGACACGGGCACTGACACTGCTCTGCTCCACACACTCTGCCCAAGTGGCCCCTGAGGCTTCTCTGGGCACCTGGAAAATACCAAATTTAGGGACAGCACCTAAACTAAGATCCTGTGGAAGAAAATGTTCAGAATGTTCAGAAGCCAAAGCCATGAAATGAACTCGCTCTGGTACCATGGAGGTGCCACAAAGAAGGGTCCTAAACCAAAACAGGACCTCAGATCCTGGAAAAGGAGAAACTGTGGGCACAAACCCTCCAAATCTCCTCTGTTGGGACTGAAACCACCCAAATTTCTAACTGGGGAAGGGATTTCTGTGAAATTTTGGCCTCCCAGGCAGAGGAGGAGCTTCCCCATGAACCATCTTCTCCCAAGGTTCCATCACTTCCCTCTCTCTCCTTCAGAGAGCAAACCTTCCCAAGGGCAGGAAAGCTCAGGGATGGCTGAGCTGGAATCCTGTTACCAGCTGCCAGGGGAGCTTTAATGGAATAAAAGAATCACAGCCTGGTAACGAGACATGTGATGGAGATTTGAGATCAAGGTTCTATTTCTGCAGCTGCTTTTCTTGAAAAAAAACACAACCATAAAAATGAGGAATAAGGAGATCAAAACACTTCCCTTCCTCAAGGGCTCACATGCTCTTCAAAAGGAACGACTGCAAGTACAAAAATACACCTTGGAGAGAGGACAGGGACGGAGGAGACGGCAGAGAACTGAGCTGAATTCCCAGAAATGTCATTAGGAAACCACTTCCCACACAAGAAACTGGAGCTCGTGAGATTTCAGTGGCTCAAAGATAAACTTAAAATCAACCACTGAAGTTTCCATGACACGAGGATTCCAGCGTTACCTGACCACTGAGGGGGACAAGGAAAATTCCTCTCCCTTCACCAGGCTCCTGGAAAATCCCAGCTGGGCACGGAAACCTCCACCAGGGACACGAACGGACAAACCAAGGGGTGACACAAACCCAGAGGGGGAGTTTGTGTGGGGCTGTGACCCAGGCAGGAGGTTGGTCACAAGATTTAATGCCAGTCTAGAACAAACTCTGGTACCTATAAATATTTGGCATCAGTGTCCCAGGCTCAGCTGAGTCCATCAAGGCCTGTCTGGGGTGAGCTGACAGAGAAGGGAAACCAATGGTGACAGAAGGGACAGAAGGTGTCACCTGTCCCCTCACCTGAATCCCAGGATCCCTGAGGCTGGAAAAGCCCTCCCAGCCCATGGATCCACCCTGTGCCCCATCCCCACCTTGTCCCCCAGCCCAGAGCACTGAGTGCCACGGCCAGGCCTTCCTGGGACACCTCCAGGGATGGGCACTCCAAACCTCCCTGGGCAGCCCTGGCCAAAATGAGACGCTGAGACTAATCAATGATCTGCATCTCCCAGACCAAGGGTCTGTAAGGAATTCTGGCTGTGGTCCCAAATGATCCAAGAGCTGTAGGTATGGGATACAATCCCAACAAACCGCTGCCCAGCTGCTCACAAATCCCAGGATGTGCTCCAGCTCTTCCTGGAGCATTTTGTGGTTTCTGTCATTTATTGGCTTGGACACTGAGGGGGACAATGTGTTAACCCTTCCCCTGCCCCGCTGGACACTGACCCCAGCTCAGCCCTCCCGGGGGGGGCTTTGCTCCCCTTTTCCGTGTGACCCCACCCTGAGCCCGGATCCTCCCTTCTGATACCAGCACCCCCCCGAGATCCCTTCCCACCTGGAGATCCCTTCCCACCTGGAGATGTCCTTCCTGGCCTCCTGGCTGCCCTGCTGCCCCGGGGCCGTGCCCGTGGGGGCCGTGCCGGGCTCGGCCTTGTTGTCATTGTCGTCGTCGTCGCTGTCGGAGCCGCCCGAGGAGCTGCTGTCCGAGGCCACCAGCGGCGCCTTCCGTGTCACACACACGTTCCACACGCAGGGGGAGCCGGGGCTGACTGCGAGGGGAGGGCCCACGTCAGCCCCGGGCAGGGAGGGGGGGGTCAAACACGGCGTTTTCATGGTTTGGGTGGGAAGGGACTTTAAAGATCAGCCAGTTCCATTGCTGCCTAAAGGGAAGCCTGAAAACTGGAGGGGGGCTTTGGACAAGGCATGGAGGGACAGGACACAGGGAATGGCTTCCCACTGCCAGAGGGCAGGGATAGATGGGATATTGGGAAGGAATTCCTGGCTGGGAGGGTGGGGAGGCCCTGGCACAGGGTGCCCAGGGAAGCTGTGGCTGCCCCTGGATCCCTGGAAGTGTCCAAGGCCAGGTTGGACGGGGCTTGGAGCAACCTGGGCTGGTGGAAGGTGTCCCTGCCCATGGCAGGGGTGGCACTGGATGGGCTTTAAGGTCCCTTCCCACATAAACCTTCCTGGGATTCTGCCAGCCAGGCAGGGCTTTATTGAATGGGCTCTCCAGCTCCACAGGGAGAGCATCCCAAAAAACCCCCGTGGCAGAAGACAGTCCCATGCTTTTCCCCCCTCCCAGTGTCACCCACCCTTCCATGGCTACTACACACACAGGTTTAATTTACTTCCACCCAAGTCCTTTGTTAAATGGAGTTTTTCCTTGCTCAGGAGGGAGGAGGGAAGGGAGTCACATGGACTCCCAGTGCCTCAGCACAACCATCAACAGAGGGACTTACCCTGACCCTGGAATTCTGGGCAAGTGATTTGATAATCAAGCATAGTTAAAACAGGACTTTTGACCAGTTTATAGAAACATGGAATGGTTTGGGTGGGAAGGGACCTCAAAGCCCACCCTGTCCCACCCCCTGCCATGGGCAGGGACACCTTCCACAAGCCCAGGTTGCTCTAAGCCCCATCCAACCTGGACACTTCCAGGATAAATGAAATGTCTCTGTGATGGCAACTCCACCTCACTTCAGTCCCTTGCTGACAACGTTGTCCCAACAACCCCCCAGGATTTCTGAGTTCACCTCGACAGCCTGACCCTGGTGTGAAAGGAGCCCTCAGGGTGGGTGACACTGCAGGGACACTCTCCCTACACCCGGTGCAGGATTCCCCAGGGCTCAGTGCCCCCCTGTGTGCCCAGCCATGCTCTCACTCACAGTTCTTGTCCTGGCCCTGCTTCGGGGTCCCGTCGGAGTCGCCGCTTTCCGTGTCCACGGGGGAGCTGCAGCGGGGGCCTGACTCTGAGCTGAGGGGGGAAGAGCCTTGAGAAGGGGAACAGATCCCACTGCTCCCACACAGCCCCGGCAGAGGGAATCATCAGGCCTTGACCTTCCCTTCCATAAATATTTTTAACTTGTATAAATCTTATTAATTTACTGCTTTTACTCCCTGAGTGCAGCAGCAGCAGCAATGGTACAGGAGGTACCGTAAGACAGGAATGCCAGCACCAGCTGGGAGCACTGGGAAGCAGTGGGAAGCACGATCCAGGACAATCAGACAATATTAAACAATAAAAAGGGAAGCAGTGGGAAGGGGAAGGGAAGAAGAAAGGCTTACAGCCAAGGCACTCCACCAAAATGCACCCCAAATACTCTTCCCCCCCAAAGCTCCAGGGAAGCCGTGGCTCTTACCAGCAGAAGGGCTGGAAGTCAGTGAACTTGGCCCATCCCTTCTCCTCGGGTGCGGAGCTCTGCGGGGCGGCCGAGTCCCACACGCTGGAGCCCACGTCCATGGCCACGCAGGGCACGGGGGGCTTGGAGCTCACGGGCTCGAACACCGCCGTCCAGCCAGCCCCTGGGGACAACAACAGCCTGCAGCCCGGGATCCAGGGATCCAGGGGCAGGAACCATCACCCAAGGGCTCTCCAGCCAGCCCCTGGGGACAACAGCCCTGCAGCCCAGAATCCAGGGATCCAGGGGCAGGAACCACCACCCAAGGGCGCTCCAGCCGGCCCCTGGGGACAACAACAGCCCTGCAGCCAGGGATCCAGGGATCCAGGGGCAGGAACCATCACCCAAGGGTGTTCCAGCCGGCCCCTGGGGACAACAACACCCTGCAGCCAGGGATCTGGGGATCCAGGGATCCCAGGGCAGGACACACCACCCAAGGGTGCTCCAGCCGGCCCCTGGGGACAACACCACCTCTGCAGCCTGGGATCCAAGGATCCAGGGATCCTGGGGCAGGACACGCCAGCCATGGGAGCTCCTTCCCCACCCGCCTGTCTCACACAGCCTGGGAATCCCTCTGTGGATAAATATCCCTGTTATCCACAGGAGAGGCATTGACACAGAGAAATGGCATCGTGGATGCCTTCAGCCCTGAGCCAGTGATTCCCAGCTGAACTCCAGGTCCCTCAGCTCCTTCCAGCCATTCCAGCCCTAACTGAATTCTGGCACACACAGGTAAGGAATCAATGTTCAAGATCCCAGAAGTCACTTGACAGTTTCTTTTTTACAGTCCCGGCCTATTCCTTCTTCACCAGAACCTACTGCCACCCCTAGTCCTACTCCAGCTTCCAGTCCACAAATCCCACTTTTTGAAATACTGTCTGAAATACTTCCACAGCGTTGTTTACATGGTGAGGTGGGAAAATCCCTGAAGGGGCCAACAAGGAGGATGGAGAGGACTTTGGACAAGGGATGGAGGGACAGGACACAGAGAATGGCTTCCCAGTGCCAGAGGGTTAGATGGGATATTGGGAAGGAATTCCTGGCTGGGAGGGTGAGGAGGCCCTGGCCCAGGTTGCCCAGAGAAGCTGTGGCTGCCCCTGGATCCCTGGAAGTGTCCAAGGCCAGGCTGGATGGAGCTTTCAACCTGGGCTCATGGAAGGTGCCCCTGCCCATGGCAGAAAAATGATCTTTAAGGTCCTTTCCCACCCAAACCATCCTGTGATTGCATGAAAATCCTGTTCTCTGCAGTCTCCCTGCAGGCACTGTAAGGATGGGTTTGCAGCAGGCAAAATAGAGCTGGAAAAGCAGGAGAAAAGAGAGAGACCCGGAGTGTGGAGACACTTGGCAAAGGTCTGCACAGAACCCTTATCATGTGATGTGAGGGGTTCATGCCCTAGTCCTCCAGTGATGTTTTGATCAGGATCTGCACTAAAACAGTTGGGATTCACAGAGTCACAGAATCATGGAATGCTTTGGTTGGAAAGGACCTTCAAAACCATCTCATTCCAACACCCTGCCACGGCCAGGGACACCTTCCCCTGGGATTATCCTGGTGCCCGTGGCTGCCTGAGCACAGCTGCTGTCCTGAAGGAGCTGGGCATGACTGCAGCTCCCTGATAGCTCAGAGGCAGAAATGGAGCCTGAAATTCCCATTTCTCTGTGCCCAGGTGGAATGGTAGACTCTCCACAGGAACCTGGCGCTGTGCAAAGTGCTGCTGTGCTGCAGATCTCCCCCCAGCACACATCCTGCTGTGCACCCTTTACCTTCAGAGGTGTCAGAGGACTCCTTCTGCTCCGAAATGCTGCTCTTGGGGCTGTTTGCTGAGGGGGGAGGCGGCTGCTGCTCGGGCTCCTCCTCCTCCTCCGAGTCCACGCTCCCGTCGTGGTCTCCGTTCTCCAGGTCGCTCTTGGACGAGCCCTCCGAGGTCTGTGACGCTCCAAACCTGCCCCACAGAGCCCAGGTGAGCAGGACTCCAGCTCCCCCAGCCCCCAGCTGCCCTCTCCCCGCTCCAGGGACACGGCCCAGTGCCTTTTCCGGGGTTATTTCCCCCAGAATGCACAGCCAGGCAGGAATCTGGGAGATCCCTCCAGGGACAGCCCCGAGGGCTTTGCCAGTCCAAACCCATCTGCAGAGGCAGGAATGTGCTGCAGTGACAGACCCGGGGCTGGAGCCTGGTGGGACCACACAAACCAGTGGCAAAGAGGAGCATACTGGTGTGGAATGGACCCTGTGTGTGAGCAGCACCATCGGGGTGCTGGTGCTTGGCAAGGAAACATTGAGCTCTTGGTGGTTTTTCCTGTCCCCCTCGATCATATTTCCAGACACAGAATTAGAGAAGTGACTTTATTCAATAACTGGCTCCATCAAAGGGATGAAGAAGGATTTGCAGAGCCAGAGATGCCCCTGGGAGGTCCCTTGTTCTCATGAAAAACATCACCTTTTTTTCTTAATATTCTGAAAAAGTTCTGTCTGCTCCCCTCAGTCTTAACTGCTCCTCCTCCTCCTCCTCAAAGATGAAGAAGTTCTAAGTATTTCACACTAAGGGTGGGGATTTTTAATACCTTTGATTTTACTCCATGACAGACCCAGTCCCTGGGTTTTTCCATTGTTACTGAATTCCCTCACACTGGATCTCTGTTGCACATTCAAGACAAGCCCCCGGCACACGTGGCACGGGGAGTCCTCAGGGCTGGCAGACAGAAACCTCAGAGCCCCTCAATAACACAAACATCAAACACCTAAGCAGGGCCTGGACTGAAATGTGCAGCTTCCCAGCATTCAGGGGGAGAAATGAGTGCTTTGTTTTCACCTTACCGTGTTCTTGATTTGACCTGGGTTGCGTAGCTGATCTCCTTCTCCTCCCAGATGTCCTCCTCCTCCTCGTTGTCGTCGAACTGCTGGATCCGCTCGTTGCAACAGGCCTCAAACAGGGAGGCATTGGGCTGAGGGACAGGGAGGAGAGACCAAATCCCAGTCATTCCTTGGGAAAGACTGAGGAAACCGAAGTCTGAGTACTGGCCCAACCAAGCTCTGCTCAGGAGCTGAGGGTGGCATCCCCTGGGGGGAATCACCACTGTCCAGCTGCTGCTTTGCTTTGGGGCAATTCAACAGGAAAGACCAGACACAGCCTGGGAATATTTAGATCCATAAGAAATCCAGCCCTCTCCACGCTTCCCTAAGCTGTGCCTGGAAAGATTATCAAAGGCTGGGAGAATTGGGATTGTTCATCTGGAGAAGAGAAGGCTCCAGGGAGAGCTGAGAGCCCCTTGCAGGGCCTGAAGGGGCTCCAGGAGAGCTGGAGAGGGACTGGGGACAAGGGATGGAGGGACAGGACACAGGGAATGGCTTCCCACTGCCAGAGGGCAGGGTCAGATGGGATACTGGGAAGGAATTCCTGGCTGGGAGGGTGGGGAGGCCCTGGCACAGGTTGCCCAGAGAAGCTGTGGCTGCCCCTGGATCCCTGGAAGTGTCCAAGGCCAGGTTGGACGGGGCTTGGAGCAACCTGGGCTGGTGGAAGGTGTCCCTGCCCGTGGCAGGGGTGGCACTGGATGGGCTTTAAGGTCCCTTCCAACCCAAACCATTCCACGATTCTGTGCTTCTAAGAACAACAGACTGACACTGCAGAGAGGGAGAAAAATTCCTTAAATGCCAGGAGTGGAATTCTGAGGAAATATTTTTGGGGGAGACGCTCTGGGGTATTGGCAGTGCCCCCAGTTCCTTAACTGGACTCAGTGCCCAGGGTGACACCTCTGCACTGACCAAAAAACCCACCAAATGTTCATTCTTTCCAAATGAAAGCAGGACCCAGGCAGGTTAAACCAGCCCCCAACCCCACTCACGCTGTCGTCATCGGCGTCGATGTTGAAGTTGATCTCGGCGATCCTGTCGAAGGGAGCACTGCCCAGGGGAGGGAAAGAGCCTTCAGGGGTGGCACAGAGGAACCTGGGCATCCCCAGCACCACCCAACCCCAGAGCCCCTCCAGGGGTCTGTTCCCTGAGCAGCCACTCCTGTATCCGGGCCGTGGTCTCCCCTCTTTGAGATGAAGGGTTAGTTCAGCCCGGAACATCCCCTGTCCATGGCAGGGGGTGGAACTGGGGGGGCTAATCCCTCCCATCCCAACCCACTCCAGGATTCCACGGGTCAGATCTCCTCTCCTGGGGCTGATTGAATCCCTGAGGGAGCAGCCTTTGCCATGAGCTCCTTGCTGTGGGGTTTTGGGGCTCTTGGCAGCCCCAGCAGGGTCGGGCTGTTCTGAACTCTCGTGGTGCCTGGGGAACAGCACGGTCGGCTCTGCTTCCCCCAGATCCCTCCAGCTGATCCCAATCCCATTGGAAACATTTAAATAAACTCATCATTAATGAAAAAGAGAAGGAGCTGCAGCCAGCTGCTCTGGAATTCCAGTCCTATGCTCCCCCAGGAATTCCATGGGGCTGCACGAGACAGGACTCGATGGCACTGATGGCACTGGGGAGGCCCCCCTGGAATCCCGGGGGCAGTTCTGGGCCCCTCAGACAGGAGAGACCTGGAGGGGCTGGAGCGTGTGCAGGGAAGGGAAGGGAGCTGGGAAGGGGCTGGAGCAGCAGGAGGGGCTGAGGGAGCTGGGGGGGCTCATCCTGGAGCAAAGGAGGCTCAGGGGGGACCTTCCGATCTGGGAGGGCTTTTCCAACCCCAGTGATTCTGGAATTCTGTGGATCTCAGTGTGTGAGTGGCTCACACCCCTGGTGTGTCACTGTGCTGCAAAAACCCTAAAATGACCCAGTTTCCTGTGTGGCCCCAGAGGAGCCCGTTGGGAGAACAGCAGAGGGAGCTGCAGCCCAAAAACTCCACATTCCCAGACAGCTGGGGCCAGGCAGAGTTTATCCACCCTCTCCATGCAGCTCTACCTTTGGACAGTAGCATTTTCTTTAAAGACTGTTCAGTTTAAAATACCATCCTGCAAATCCCCAGGACACCGAAACATTATTAATATTTGTTAACTACTCCAATTCACATCTCCCACAGTGTCCAAAGGCTGGCAGGGAGCACCACTCTCACAATACTCCGTGTTTTGTGGTACATTCTCCTTTTCCAACCACAAATAAAGTGACAAAATCCCAGTCACAGACTTTTTTCAGCTTGGTGTTCATTTTACAACGGTCACGAGGCACTTTTGGCAGCTCCTCACGGAATTTAACTCCTCCCCTGCACCTACACACACACACAGGGTCACATTTGCTGCTGACACAAGTGAAAAATCTGTTGATTTTTTTCAGTGTGTAGAACCAAGTAATCTCTGTTCAATTAAACTCTGATTCAGTCTGGAACTTTCTGGCCTTATTAAAGTTCTGGCATCTACAAGGCTCAGGAGGAACCTTGGATGAAGGACAGAGGTGTTGCCACACTTCCCTGTCACCCTGGATCCCAAAGAATTCCTGTGATGGAGACAAACCCTCCAGCAGCTGAAGTGAAGGGGCAAAGCTGAGGAGCAGAACATTGGGATGCCCTGGAGCACTTCTGTGTCCAGAACTAAATGGTTCCAATCTCAGAACCATTATGGCCAAGGGGGATAATCCCAGTCCCAGGTACATCTTTAGGGAGAGAAGATGAGCTGCAGTTTTAATGGGATTAAAGTAAATCCATAAAAGCAGCAAATTCTGAGCTCTGAACTCAGCAAGTTGTGTAGCACTAAATCCCCCTCTCCTGCCTCCTCTGAGCTGTCCTTGCTCCTCCTTATCTCTGTTCCCTTTCTCAGAAGGGAGAAAATGGTTCATTTTTCCATGGACTCCATCAAACCACGATTCTTCCATTCCTAATTTCAATAAGGATTTAATTCCTTGGACAATATGTGTTTAATTGCCCAGAATTCACTCTAATGCTTTGCTTTCTCTGCAATTAAACTTCTCCTAGAGCAGGGCTAGCTAATAATTGCCTGTTTTATTTAAAACACTTCTCTTTAGAATGAAGAAATACTTTTCCTCGGTTCTACAACTGCCTTTGGAGATGAGGGCTGGGCTCCCACAAATAAAGCTCCGTGTTTTCCCAGCCCTGCTCCTTTCAAACCCCAGGAAGGAGGAGGAGGTCCCTTTTAAACCCTGAACCAGGAGGAAGGTGAGGTGCAAAGAGGCTGAAATGCTCAGAACCACAAACTCACTTGATGTTGTCGTCCTGGTCTGCAAACTCCTCGTCGTTGAAGCCGAACTGATCCACGAAGTTGGCCGTCATCTGCTGGATCTGGTACTCGGAGAAGGCCTGGAGAGGGACCCAAACCAGCATCACCAGGGTGTCCCCAGACACTCCAGGACATTACACAGAGCTGGGGGAAAAACCTGCCCTACAGAAGCATCAATAGCACCAAAAAGGGACAGACTCACTCCAACCCCCTTCCCAAAGTGGGACCACACACACTTCTGGGAGCCCTGGGCTGACAACTCTCCCACCTGCCCCCAGCTCCTCCCAAAGAGAGGCAGGAATTTCCAGAGGGAACCATTTGTTGGCTTCATTGGGTTGTTTTCCCCCAGTGCTGCAAGTGAAACCCACCACAGACATCCAGAGGGTACTTCTGGCTTCCTCCAAAGGCAAACCAGAGCAGCAAGTTTCCCGGGAACAGGGAAGGGTGTGCTGTCCACTCACCTGCTGGAGGGTGAGTTCATTGGGAAAAGCACTTTCGATGTCCTCGTCCTCACTGGAGGAGTGCAGGTGGTGGGTGCTCACCTGGGGGAAGGACCAAGGAATGAGCACAAGGGAAAGCTGAGAAAGCTCCAATAGTTTAGTTCCAGTCCCCCCCAAAGACCAAACTCCTCCCAGGCAGAAACTGGTCTGAGGGATAACATGGATTGGAGTTCCCCAACATGGATCAGCTGATGCTTGGAGAACTATTATGGAACACGTTTTCTACACTCTGCCCTTGAAATTCTTCAGAAAAACCAGCACAATGAGAATAAAACCCAGGAATATCCCTTTTTCTAGTGAAAGGAGGTCCAGGAGCCCTCGGGCCCGGGGTCTCTGTGCTCACCAAATCCACCGTGTTCCTCCGGTTCGTCTCCGTCAGCGTCTCCTCCACGAAGCTCTCCCACCTCCCCCGGCAGTCCTCGGGCAGCTCTGCAACGACAGGGGCACCACAAGGCTCAGCTCTGAGGGGCACCACGAGGATCAGCTCTGAGGGGCTCCCTGGAGCCCAGCAGGGTGGGAGGGCTCTGCACAGGGAGTCACTTCACTCGGGGTTTTCCAGCCCCAGCAAGATCTGCCGAGGAAGGTTCAGCTCCCGGGAGGTCAAACAGTCAGATGTGACTGGTGTGAACAACCTGAACTCCTCTGGAGCTACGGGGGCTAAAGAGACACAATTTCTACTCCACCTTTGTGCAAACAGCCACAAGTGTGGCTGAAGTTCTGCTTTTCAATCCTTGTGTCTCTCTTTCAGGTGTAATAATTCTGCTATGGAATGGTTTGGGTTGGAGGGACCTTAAAGCTCATCCAGCCCCACCCCTGCCATGGGCAGGGACACCTTCCACCAGCCCAGGTTGCTCCAAGCCCCGTCCAACCTGACCTTGGACACTTCCAGGGATCCAGGGGCAGCCACAGCTTCTCTGGGCAACCTGTGCCAGGGCCTCCCCACCCTCCCAGCCAGGAATTCCTTCTTAATATCCCATCTAACCCTGTCCTCTGGCACTGGGAACCCATTCTCCCTTGTCCTGTCACTCAGGTCCTCATGGACAAGGAATAAGGAAGCACAGACATCTCCCAGGAATGCTGCACATCAGCACCATAAATCCAGAGGAAAAGCAGCCCTCTGGCCCCAGAGGAGCCCCTCAGTCTCTGGCTGCACAAACAGAGCTCCAACATGTTGAGCCTCACTGTGTGAAAGCAAAGAGCAGCCAAATTCCTCAACATATTCCGGGGTTCTGGGAGGCTGCGGTGTTCCACTGGGAATCCTGGGCACTGGCCAAGGGCCCTGCAGGGATGGGGGTGCAGAGCCCTGGCAGGAGGGTGTTCCCTGGGGAGCAGGGGCTGGAGGTACCTTTGATGAAGTCGCTGATCTGGGCCTGCATGGGGCCCTTCTCCATGTTGTGCACCACGGCGTTGGCGATGCGGGTCAGGTGGCCCATGTTCCCCCTCCTCATCCCTCCTTCTGCCCTGCGGGGACACAACGGGGCAGTCGCACCAAGAACGGCCTCCCAGCCCCATGGTATTCCAGGGAACGGCCTCCCAGCCCCCCGGCATTCCAGGGGCTCCTGCCCCAGGAACAGCCTCCCAGCCCCCCTGAATTCCAGGAGCTCCTGCCCCAGGACCTGCCGGCTCCCTTCTCATGGAACTGGGAAAATTCTTAAGGAACAACCAGGGATACTTTTGGTCCCTACAGAACTGGGCAAGGAAGTTACCAGCAGAATTTGTTATCGAGGCAAGGGGTTGTAAGAGGGAAAAGACCAAAAAACCCCAAAAACCCAACCCAAACCAACAACAACAAAATCAAATCAACCCAACCCAGCAGTTCTGGCCTAAATCAGCTCCAGCAGGGCTCCAAAGCACTTTGGAGCCATCAAGAGCTCAAAATAGTGAGGGAAGACCAAAACATCCAACTGGACAAGGAAACTGAAGCCTCCAAAGTATTTTCACTTTAATATGTTTTAGGATCTTTTAATTCTTTAGTTCTTATCACTGGAATCACCACATATGCAAGGAGTTTATAAAGGTAAAATATGAAATCCAGGGCACAAATGCTTGGCCACCTCAGTTTCCACACAGTTTTCCACTGTAGGGACAATATAATTATGGATTTAAAACAAAAACACAAGAAAGAAAAAAGAAAAAAGTGAATATTCTTTGTGATTTCCTGGGAAAGCAGCAGATTGTGTGTTTGGGATGAGGTGTTAGAGACACCCCAAAAAATCATCAGGCTTTCAAATTCTATGTGTATTTGGGGAATTTGGCTTCTTAACATGCAAATCACCCCAATTCCAAATCCCAACCCAAATCCCAGTGGGTTCAGACACCATTAAATCCTCCCAGTGGTTCCATGTGCAGCCCTGGGGGCACCAATTCCTTACTGGATTTTGTCATTGGCTTCCCAGGCATCCAGTATCCTCTGCACCAGGCAGCACTTCTGGAACAGCTGGAGGGGAAAAGAGGGACAACAGTCAGGATTTTCCAAAGGAACACTCACAGCTCAGGAGTCTGAACGTGGGTTCTTCGGTTCCTCCCTTCACTCCCCAAAACCTCAAATTCCAGCACTTCCCTTGCCCAAGAATTCCTTCTTTCCCAATTATTTTCCCCGAGGATCCAGGGAGAACAGCACCACCTGTAACATGCCCCCCTCTCCTGGGCTTCCCAGCAGCAGGGATGGAAACACTGCTGGCATTTGGAACCACAGCACCAAGGTCTCACCAGGAGGGCCCCCAAAGGGAAGCTGAAACGTGCTCAGGGAGGTTTTATTGTCCAAAATTTATAGGTGTTTTTACTAAAAAAAACGGAATTAAATACCAATGGATTCAGGAGCCCGTTAAATGCGGTGATTTTGACGTTTATTTTGTGACAGGACGCTAAAAATAAATGTACAAAAGCACAGACGGAGCCATGAGAACCAACAACAAACAACAACGAGCTAATAGGAATAAAAAATCCAGGCTCTGGAATGGCTGATCCACCAATTCCTGGTTAATCCAGTGCAGGGGGGCCCCAGGGTGTGGTGACTCACGTGGGTGACCATGAGGTTCTCGGGGCTGTTGGCCGGAGGCTCCACGTGCGCCGCGTTCCCGTTGGGAGCCTCCTCTTTGCTCTCCTGCTCACCCGTGGGGGGCTTTCCCTCTTGCACAGAGTGGGACAGGATAGCTGCTATGGACAGTTCCACTTGGAAATGCAAGAAGTTATTCCACGTGTATTTAAAAAATAAGTCCTGCGAGGAAAAGGGAGAGACAGAAGGGTTTAGTCAGGATAAATCTTCCCGCTTTTAATGGTCAAACGTCTGCAGGGACCTTTCCAACCCCAGCCATCCCAGGATTCTGTGACTTTGGGACATTAAATCAGTGCCCAACTTGTTTAATCAGCAATTCCACTAAAACAATTCTCCTTCTCCACCCCAGCAGCCACTGAGGGCTGGCTGGGCTCTGCTGCCCCTGGATTCCCAAGTGAAATTTCCCAAGGGAAATAAATGAACATTTCCTAACAAACTGAGCACTTGGGAATCCTCTCACTCCCAGGCAGGACTCACAGCACAGACATGCTGAAAAAAACAAGCTAACTATTCTGTGGCTGATTTAATCCTAAGAAAAAGAGTAACTAATAATTTTTAAGTATGGAAATAATTCTCTTAAGGCTGCCCAGGTTACACCAGAACCTTCCAGCCCCGGTCCCTGTTCCCAGCGGGACAACCTTTATCCATGGTCTGGATCAGGAGAGGGCTGGATCAGGGGCTGCCCAGGGAGGTTTGGAGTGCCCAGCCCTGGAGGTGTCCCAGGAAGGCCTGGCCGTGGCACTCAGTGCTCTGGGCTGGGGGACAAGGTGGGGATGGGGCCCAGGGTGGATCCATGGGCTGGGAGGGTTTTTCCAGCCTCAGGGATCCTGGGATTCTGTGAGGAAGCCCAGCTCCCAGCACTACAGGAGCTCACACACACACCACAACCAGACTGTCTCACACACCCTCCACTGCATTAACAAGAAATGTTAAGTGTGAGGCTCAGTTCCAAATCCCAAACAATTGGATGTGGGTTACAGAGGCTGTTCCAGGGCTGGATGCTCCTGCAGCAGATTAGAGCAGTAATTAGGCTCCGGCCCCCCTCGCACAGAGGAGATGAAAGGGAAAGCAAAACTGCTCCCAGTGGGAAGCCCTTCCCCTCTCCCCGCTCCCGGTGTCCCGCTGGGATACTCACAAGTAATAAATCCATGGTACTGAGTCTGCATAGTTCCTGATTAATACTGGGAGTGTTGGTGTGCAGCAGCGCCGCGATGAGCCGGGAGCCGTGGAGCCGCGCGTTCCCCAGCGGCTCCTCCAGCACCCCGATCGTGGTCAGGATTGCGGATTTCTGAGGGAAAACAGGGCAGGGTCAGCTCACCCCAGCACCCCTCGGGGCACACACACAGGGGATTTGCTCCCCAGGAGCAACAGCCAGAAATTAAACCACCAGTTCCACCTCAACAGCAGGAGGAACTTCTTCCCACGGAGGTGGCAGAGCCTGGAGCAGCTGCCCAGGGAGGGGTCAGAGTCTCCCTCTCCAGAGACATTCCAAACCCACCTGGACATGTTCCTGTGTCACCTGCCTGGGCAGGGGGGTTGGACTGAACGGTCTCCAGAGAGCCCTTCCAACCCTGACTATCCTGGGATTCTGGCATTTCACAGAGCCAGTTCCTTTCAGGAATGTTCTCTGCAGGGAAACCTAAACCACCCTCCCAGTCCTGTGAGCACTGGGAGACTCCGACTTCCAAATCTGAAGATTAAAACCCCAATATCCACTAGCTCAAATTCCCTCCTCTTCACTACCCTCCCTCAACCCCCCAGTCCCAAGTGTCTGCACTTCTTGGATTTCCCTGAACACAACAGCTCCCAGGTTCCTCCTGCCTGATCCCTGAACCCCTGAACTACCACACTGGAGTGTGGATTTTCCTCCCCAAGCCCTCTGTCTGTGGCAGCCTCCTGCTCCTGGCAGGGCCCAGGAGATCCCTGTGCAAGGACAGGGAAGTCCCCTGAGCAGGAGTCGGGCTGGGCCTACCTTGGGTGGGCTGAGCAGCAGCTGGTGGAAGTCCTTGAGCCGAGGTTGGATCCCGTGCAGGATGCTGCTGTTGACAGTGTAAGACCTTTCGAATCCCTGAGTGTACGAGTCCATCAGTCCTTCCACCCTGCCAGGGGAAGAGCAGGACAATTCCCTCGGGATGAATCTCCCCGTTTTTAACCACCAAAGGGTATCACGTGGCCTTACAGGTCCATTCCAACCCCAGCCACCCTGGGATTCGGTGACTTTGGGATAATAAATCACTGCCCGACTTGTTCAATCAGAATTCCACTAAAACAACTTCCCTTCACACCTCAGTGTCCACTGAGGTGGAGATTTGATAAAACCTCACAAGGGTCTCCAGTCTCACTGGCCATGTCAGTGATTTTCTCTGAAAAAATAACTGTCAATATGAAAAATAATAATTTCCAGCCACTGAATACATTTACATAATATATTTACATACATTATATTAATATATCATTTACAAGATGCTCTTCACATATCAAACCTGATATCAAACTTTGTGTGTCAAACCTGTGCCTGAGGTGACAGAGACACACTCCTGAAGGGCTTTCTGCTCTTTAAAAGTTCCCCAATGTTTGAGAAGCAAATGACATCAGCAAGTTAACTACAAATATTTGTTAAAAGCTGTAAATCCTCCCCAGCTGTTCAAAAAGATGCCCACGAAGACACCAAGGGATGGAAAGCCTGAGGGGCTGGAGCTGTGCTCATCACCTCTCCATTGGCAGGGAGTAAATCAAAACAGCTCTGCCACCCAACTGCAGGGACACAAACACTCTTACTCCATCAGGAAATGGAATTCCAGACAGTCAGGAAGGAGCTGGGCAGGAATCCCTGAGCCTCCAGCTCACAAAGCTCCAGAGATCCCAGGAGCCAGCCCTGGCACAATTCCTGGCTCAGGTCCTTCTCAGTTCAATTCTGCTCAAGACCTTCTGACCAACACCTTGTTTCCCCAGTGCCCCCTCCTGTCCTGCTCTCCAGGGCCTCTTCCTGAAGCTCCATGATCTTCACCCTTCCCGATCCCTCCTTTTTGAACAGTGAGATGTTCAATATCTCACTTCCCTCCACAAAACTCTCTTTGCCTTTTCTCTCCTCTTTCTCCATAAGAAGAAATAAAAGGGGACATAACTTTTAAAAACAAAATTAGAACTATACAGTGACACATAGGGAATCATGGAATTGTGGAATGGTTTGGGTGGGAAGGGACCTTAAAACTCCTCCAGCCCCACCCCTGCCATGGGCAGGGACACCTTTCACCAGCCCAGGTTGCTCCAAGCCCCGTCCAACCTGGCCTTGGACACTTCCAGGGATCCAGGGGCAGCCACAGCTTCTCTGCCCAACCTGGGCCAGGGCCTCCCCACCCTCCCAGCCAGGAATTCCTTCCCAATCTCCCATCTAAATCTCCCCTCTTCAGCTTAAAGCCATTTCCTCTTGTCCTGGCACTGCTTGTCCTCGCAGACATTTCTAGGCAGCACTTCATACCAGGCCACAAAACGTCCTTTTTGCCCAAGAAAACTGGACTGGGGTTCCCAGTGCCGCTGCTCCTGGAGGGCAGGAATTCCGACTCACCCGGAGCGCCGCGTCTCCAGCAGGGTCAGCAGGACCTGGGTGCCATTGACGATGCAATTCTCCGTCTGCTCCCCATCAAACATGTTCCTCAGGAGCTGCTCCACACATTCCTGCCTGTGGGGTGACACAGCAGGGTAAGAATGACACGGACCTGGCAGCTGCTTTCATCACAAAATACCCACCTGGGGTCTCCTGGAAG